AAACGCACGTATTACGAAAGCGCAAACAAAGTAAAAGTAAATTGACCTTACATTCTCAAGTCATTAAATCAAAAAAAAAACAAAAACATTTACCGCCATCCTGTATCGGAATCAGGAAATTTCCGAGAGAGAATCCAAAACAAACTTTCTTGGCAAACACCCAAAGTTTAAACTCGCGTCGCACACGCACACAATTTTTATTTATAAACTGTTATTATTACAAAATAACTTTTATTCACTTGCATACAAAACGTATTTCACTTTATACCGTGTATGTTTTTACATCACACTATCCCATTGTTTTATTTTTCTGCGTAAAACTGAAAGTTTCAGCAAAGAGGTTTATAAGTGAACACGCGTGCTTACCACGATTCGAAATTGGAAAATGGTTTAAAATTTTATAGGACGCGTGGAATGACGCGTTCGCCGGTAGCCCATGAGCCGTGAATGGTGTGTGTCTAGTGACGTCACGATTGAACCGGTTCTATACATTTCTACAGATGCTGTGAAAGACAGCGCTTTTGGCGCTGTAAGTTAGTCGTATCATTCTATTTTATAGAAAGAAAAACATAGTTATCTATAAATAAAATTAAATGCCTAGAAGTCTTTAGCCAAATCCTTCACTTCGTAGGCGTGAAATTATTAGTATTTTAGTATTTCCAGTAGCCATTTTTTTTCTCCAAGCTAAATTTTTAAAAAGAATAAAGCCTACTTAAATCCTTGTATCCTACTCAAGTCACATAGACTATCTTTATTGAGGATCGGCATATGTGCCGACCTCCTTTTTTATATATCTATGTTTTTACACGTTTCAATAGATATTTTTGGTTTTTAAATTTTTTTTAATTAGTTGAGTCAAGAGGTCAGATTACATCGTTAGTAATCTCCATTGCAAAAATATCAATTCAGCAATTTTGACAAACAAACAGAATTACCATCGCGTTTTAATATTTTGATTACAATCGCCGTATCAAAATAAGTTCTAATTCCAATGAAATCAGAGAAAACTTATTAAGATAACAATTACAATCCTATTTAATTAAGAAAAAAGTTTTAGTTTACTTAAATGTTAATCAAAAATGTCGCCCACATAAAAAATGTGCAGCAAAATAAGTTTTATATAACTGTCCCAAGGGATATGCATACTATATAACTTAAATTATTTTAGCGGTAAATTAGAAAATATAAAATATAATTTTCTTAACTATATTCGATACGAATTTAAAGGGCGTAATGTGAATGACTCATTTTTTATAATTTAAATATAAATAATTTTGAAGCTATATTATATGCCTCAAGACGAAAATTTCATCGCGCCCTTGTTATTTCCAAAAGTGCTGAAGCTGGACAGGCTTGTTATTGTAAGAAAGTTGTTTTCCCGCAACTTTGAACGCATATTTTATAGACCCGTTTACGACGAAGCTTCGCATAAGTGAATGAATCTTTAAAATAGGTGCAATAGTTTCGAAATCTAATCAATGCAAACAAGCATTCGCTCTTTATAATACCTGTAGGAACCGTATGGTTGTGGGCATGCGGTCCTATCTGTCTGACAACTGGCAATAGGTAATTTCCACTCTCCGCACTAGGTGTTTTTAACCCAGGGGGTGAGCGTCCTGGCGACTCGGTCACGGCACCCCGGGTCTCATCCCCAGGGGAGGGTACACCGTAGGGGTTTTTGTGGGTAGGCCTTAGGAAGCTCACCGAGCGGCTAGCCACGGGGTGGGCTCACATAGGAGAGTCCCACACACCCCCTGTCGCTGCAGCAGGGCCTAATGCATTTCCTCGACGTTAAAAAAAAAAGTGTTGCTAATCCGGGGACCGCGGTCCAACCGATGTAGGTCCAACCATTCTATTTATGCGAATTGGTAATGAAACTCATTGTGGGCGATGAAGGTTTCCTTTGTTCTAAATGACTTGTAGTATCTTAAAAAATTATTTCCTAAATTTCGTCTATTTTCGAAATGCTATTACGACTCCAAAGAAACGAATTTCTGAGAATTTTCTTTGTATGTTAATTAAATATAATAGGTCCTGGGTGTCATGTTGACTCGTACGAATATGTCGTTTGTAAAAAATAACTGCATAATTAATTTAACGAATAAATAAAATTGTAAATTTTAACTACAACGCTATCTGTAGACTAGTAAAAGTCATCAAATTACTACAAATCTTAGTATTGCGAACGTACTTAGGTTAAATATCAATAAACATCATATTATTCTTAATAAACAATGCTTAAATAAACAATGCTACTACAGAGCCTATTTTCATCAATATTCAGGCAATCCACCCAAAAAGCCGAAATAAATATTTTGAACTTTTGATTAAGAAGAAAATTTGGTCTAATTATTATATTTGAACATTGTGAAATGAAAAGTTGATAAAATATAATAATCATCATATTATAATTTTTAAGTTTGAATAAGCTTAAAAGAGCGCTTGTTTCGCTTCATTGCCAATGTTAAGGAGGTGTGCGAGAGGCTTGTCGTGACGTCATCCACGTGTGCGTGTGATAGATAACGGACAACTTGTGGGAAAAAAATATAAACGTGCAAAAAATCGCCTAATAGAGATTTTATTCAAACAAAATAGACCCCAAATAAAAGGCTAAAAGATAAATGACATTTGAGTAGCATCTTGGAAGAATCTGAATAACAGTACAATTAGCATTATAACTTTTGAGTGATAACCAGCATCTCTTTTATTAAGCTTCGACAACTCGATAACAACAGAAAATTCTTTGTTTCACCATTACTCAAATACAATTTTTAGAGACAGTGAAATCAGAAGACTCCATTTTATTTATTACTCAAGAGAACATAAAAATCGGAAAGTAAATGCCTTATAAATGGTATAATATATTTTTACTAAGACTGCACAAAAAAGGGAGAACATAAATACAGAATTTATCAAGCACTTTATTATATGAGCCCGAACTCAACTTAATTCAGCATTTAGATATCATTGAAGTATTTACACAAACAATATTGATCTTTAAACTGTAAAATACTTTAAACGTGTACTTTTACCATGCTTGCATGTTACTTGAGATATTAATGAACAAGACTGCATGGTCAACTGGTTTTTGCCTACCCTTGATCAACGTAAAAACAATTTTGCTGTAAATCATAATGCTGCCAGATGAGATTTTTTACATAGTTTTAGGAAAAACACTAAATGAATTGAGGTTGGTATATAAAATAACTTAATGAAAAAAATTCAAACCACATACCACACACAACACGATAATGTGATTATATTAATAGTATAACACATGTAAAGTCGTATTATGTATGCAGTATGTGATGTCAAACCTGGAATCATTTTAATCTAAGCAACAGGCACGGCCCGCTGCACTAATATTATTTTTTATTCATCTATCTTTTATCACAAATAAATTACTTCTGCTATAAAGTTGAACAAAGAATCCTGGAGATCAAGTCTAAGGGCAGCGTTAACTCATACTTTCCATTACGTTAACCTACTTATAGTACATATAGTTTTCAAGTCCTTCTATAAATATATGTCGCATCATCATTACGAAGATCGTTTGATTTAGTTTCTTTTATTTTAATTGCTAGTTACTTGATTACTTAATTACTCGATTGTAAAGAGAGCGTAATCATCGATACTTTTAATTTTATTAGAATGGTGACACTGACTTTGACAGTTCGTTTCCGATCGCCGAGGAGTAAAGACATCCGATGACATCACGCTCATCTCGTTATATTTTCGTTTAAAAAGTGATAAAATGGAATAAATCCACGTTGGTATACACGCCTGCAATGTTATTTTAAAGATAGTCCCCTGATATGGACGATCTATTTAGGCTTCGTAATAGCCCCTTATGACTACCCACCCGTTATATACTTTGTACTATTTTATATTATTTAAATATATATATATATATATATATATATATATATATATATATATATATATATATATATATATATATATTATTTTTGGGTAAAATAATACTACATTTGGCAATCTTTCTCTGACAGTTTTAATTTTATGTAATGATGTGCCGTTCCATTATTATACACATCGATTAAGGTTTACTCGTAAACATTTAATAATCAATAATAATCGATTCGTGTTAATGATTATTAAATATTTTTACCTCAAAAGTTTATTAATGATTTCAGATTAATTCCACCGTATTTTAAAGCCATCCAAGTTTATGAAAAGTAGTTTAAAATCAATTTTAAGACATCTATTTATATTATTACTATACCAGCACGCGTAGCATGACGAACGCGAGAACGTTTTGTTTACACTCAAATGTCACTTTTCTCGGGTGCGCCCATACGATATCTCACTCTCAACACCGAAAAACTGACAAATGAGTGTAGACAAAGCGTTTCTCGAGTTTGTCATGCTACGCGTGCTGCTATTATTTATTTTTCTATTATTTATTGTACCAGCATTGTGCATGAAAATTTATAGAATTAAACTAGCTGTACTCGCGATGTTGTCCGCGTGGAAAGTAGCCTTAGTAATTCCTTATTACATAGGCTATTTGCCAGTGAAAGTCCCGTCAAATTTGGTCTAACCGTATCAAAGTTTAGCCGGAACAAACAGACAGACAAAAAATGTAAAAAAATATTATTTTGGTATAGATATGTACTGTGTATAATTACATGTGCATTTAGTAAGAAACGGTAAATTTGTATTTGTTAAAATAAAACTGTAAGATCCGTTCATTCATTCATTCATCGGGAGTTCCCCGAACAAAGAGTAAAGCTATCTATTTGTTCGTGGGAGTATTCCAGGGCTACCATAGTAAGTAATAGAATATCTACTAATAATAATCACACTCGCGATCCACTATGGGTTGCTGAGCCATTGAAGTAAAGTAAATAGATACTATACTAACGTTTTAAATTGTTCCCATTGCTAACATTTTAAGAAATAAGCTATATCTAATCGTCGATTAGGAAATCATAATCGATAGCAAATGATTGTAAGAAAAATCGATTAATCGATTCCGCACACCATTAGTTAGTTATTGTTTGCTGTTTGGGTTTGTTTACGTTGCGTTTTATGAATATCGAATAAAATATTTTTGCAAAGAGATATTAACACAACGTTTTATTTTGGAATCAGAAATGGTCGGAAATACATGTCAGACATGTTTAAGCAAAAATCGGCGAATGATACCACTATCAAAAGTCCGTGATTTAATACAGAAAATAGATTTGAAGGAGGTGAGCGTGATTTTAAATAAAAACATTTCTCAAAATGTACTTATTTATACATTTCAAAAAGTGGTGATAAATTAAAAGAAACATTAAATTTTCACATACCATAAATAGTTTTTATTAGGCATTTCTTTAAAAATATGAATTGTACTTTCGTTAACAATAAAATTAAGTTATATTGATTATATCTGATACTCCTTTTTAAACAACCATTTGTTTACTAATAGTTATTGTAAATAGGACAGATTTAATTGTTTATTTGCATTGAAAAGCCTGATATTTATGATTAACAGATTAAAAGCCTTATATATATCTAGTCCTATATATCTTATATATCAAAATCAATGGAGCTGTTTTTTGACTACCACACTTTTTGACAAAGAGCACTGGATAAATGATATTGAATTTCTATTATATTTCCAGATAATACAGTCGAATGGTGGAGTTTGTTGGGAATGTTATAAAATTATTGAGAAATTTTCAAATTTTAAATTACAAGTTAAACTAGCTCAAGAATCACTAAAATTGAAGGTGAGTTCTTATTGTGACAAAATATGAAGACAAACTATGTAGCATCACCCATCACCAGCCTGTTAACGACATTAACCCTTAACCCTTTCCCGAGGATGGAATCATCCAAATATAATGGGGAGAAATATTATATTGATTTTATATATTAAAAACGAACTATGTTATGTTTTTCATTTAAAAAAACTTTTTTTCTTTTTTATACCAACTAAAATAAAATAAAAACATCAAATTTTGATGTTTCTCATAGATGTAGTTCAAATCCTAAGTTTAAATTTTGACCACTTTTTATTATAAATAATGGTTTAAAAAAAGTGTCTACACATTTGAGAGGCAGATGTCTGGTTTGTGATGGAATATCAGTTTTTTCTAAAGAAGAAATTATGTTTAAAAATCTTACAAATTGTGCTTCAAATGTGAAAAATATGAAATTACAGGTAGAAAGAACTTAGCACTAGTAAGCATGATAATTCTCTGCCTCTTTTCATTCATTTACTGGGACATTTTTTATAAGTTCTTACATGACCTTCATTTAATATGCAACCAAGTCTAAGATCCTAAAAAGTATATGTCAACCTTGTCATTATTTAAATTTAATTTTATCACAATATTTCAGATCAAAGTTGATAAAAACTTCAGCCAACTATCTGTGCAATCAAAAACTACATTTGACTACAATTTTTATTTTAATTTTGACCCATTGACATCTGAAGACAAGAAAAATGAAGTTAATATAGTTAAAGAAGAAAATTCAGATAGCGATTATAACAAATTTGATGATGAGAATGAATTGTTAGAAGAGAAGCCTAAAATTAATAGCTGTTTAAATGTATATGTTGATTCACTTGAATTCAATTCAAATAAAGCAAATCCTAACAATTTTGAGTCTTGTAAAACAAATACTTATGACAAATCAACTGAAGTATTGGATAATCTCACTCCAAAGTATGGAAGTGACTTAAAAGATAGTTTACAGTCAAAAACTGTAAAAAGAAAGAAAGTGAAACAGAATTACAAAGGAAGGAAGAAGAAATCTAATGTTCCTCCTAGAGAGTATGAATACAGTCACAGTGAAATAAGAAAAAAGTTCACAAAAATTGTATTTACAGTTCAAGAAATGTTAAAACACAGAGAAGATAGACGAACCAGACCAAATTTCAAGAAGATACCATTCAAATGTGACACTTGTCTTATGGGGTTTACAACACAAGAAAAATATGATGAACATTTACAGAAGAAACATAAAGAAGTAGGTTTTTCTCAAATTGAATTAGTTCTTGATTGAATCATTGTATATTTATCGGAAGTCTACTGTGTTAAAATTGTCTGCCTTTCACTGCCAGTAATGGAGTTTCTGAATTCGTAAAATTTCAGTAAAACAAGTTGAACTTTTCAATGTTATTATTTTGTTTATTAATTAATTGTATTTTCGTGTATTTTCTCCAACTTTCAGAGTATAGGACGATTCATATGTGATGTGTGCAAAGCCAGGTTCCCTCATAAGAACGCCTTACAGAGACACTGTCCAAAACATTTCATATTCTACAAATGTAAATTGTGTAAGTTTGAAAGTGTGGAACTATGGCAAGCTTACAGTCACTGTAAAAGTAGACATAGGGATGATGACGTCAACAAAATTCATTGCCAACAATGTTCTGTAGTTGTGAAGTAAGTTATATTATATTCACACAGAAATATATTTAAATTCACTTGATTGAAATGCTCAAGAGCGTAGTTATTTTTAATACATAATTTACAATTTTCAACACATTACATAGTATATCATTATAAATGTCAATTAGCCAATTATTATCTTATCTTAATTATGTGTGAGCAATAAAGTATCTATCTATATCTTTTACAAAACAAACATCAGAAATAAATAATAGACATATTCATTACTCGAAAACATATAATAAATTAAGAGAAGAGATATATATGTCATATTTGAAATAATATACAAATCCGTTTCTTTTTCAAGGACCCCAGAAGAATTAGATGATCATATGCGAACGCAACATGTGTTGTACTGCAATGAATGCGGTGAGAAGTTCAAAAAGAAATCTACTTTGAGGACACACAAAATGTAAGAGTTTTTAATTTGACTCTACTTATCAAAAGTGATTTAATTGTAGTCTTTAATTTTCATATTTGTCTCATTCAAATATATATATATATCAATTTTAATCTGAATCTTAATAACTTATACCTACTAGTATGTTAAACTTTACTGATATCAAATACATTAAGAAATCAATATGGAGTTGAAATATTTTTTATTTTACTGAAGCATTCGACAGTGTGGATTTTATGTAAGGTACAGTTACATTTAAAAAAAAAACATGTAAATGTCAGCGCTAGCAACTATTTTAGGTTAGATACATCTCAGTTCAAAAGAAGAAGAATAGTTGAAAAAATCATTATATTATTTAGCAAAGCTGTCCCTCGGGGATTTCAATTGGGACCCAATTTTTATATATGATTTTTTTATATTGTTATACAGACGGATACACGGTGTTAAGAGAGAATTTGTTTGTAATATATGTAATAAGAGTTTCATGACTGCTTCCCGCTTGGAAACACATGCGGCGAACCACAACGATACATTAGCTCAGCAGTTGTCTTACTGTTCCATCTGTAACATTCAATACAAAAGCGTTCATGTATACAGAAGTCATATGAGACAGAGCGCAGCGCATTCTCTTGATCAGTAAGTCCTTGTTAACTAATATTTTTTCACTTGTTTAATCTATATTCATTAATACTATAAAGAGTTAAGATTTCTTACTCTGTTAGTTTGTAGGTTTTAATGGGAATAGGGATGACGACTGGGTAAAAAAAAACGCAATTCTATTTAGTCCGTCAGTCAGATAATAGAAAAATATTAGATACGTATTTTTTTTTACTTCAATTTAACAAGAAATAGCCTAGATCATCATCATCACATCATCACCAGCCCTTTTACGTCCCCACTGCAGGGGCTCAGGCCTTCCTTATGGATGGTTAAGGAGGATGGGCCATGACCCTCCACGCTGGCCCAATGCGGATTGGAGGGTATTAACGACTGCAAATGCAGCCGGGACCAACGGCTTAACGTGCCTTCCGAAGCACGGAGTAGCTCAAGATAATAATTTTTGGTCACCCATCCCGTGACCGACCCTTGCGAAAGTTGCTTAACGACTACGATCGCGGGCCGCGGCGCTTATCCACTACGCCACCTAGTTAACGCATTAAAGTTGATTGGCTCGCTACGTCACAGTTGAGTAGAAAACGTACTCTAACGTGACGTCATGCGAAATTTCAACTCAATGTAACGCCGTAATTTTATGATTACGAAAAAAATACGTGTTTAATATTTTTTAACACTCTACCTGACGGACAAACAAACAAAAATTAGTCGTCATCCCTATTGTCTAAATTAAGCGTTAGATGTAGATATCTGTCAAGGCTATTGAGAAAATGCTATTTGTAAACTTTCGACCAACATTCAAATCGAATTGGGAGAATAGGCTTTGTCTAATCACGCGGGCCCTGTGCTTATTGGTGGGTTGACGACTGCAGATGCATCGGACCATTGGCTTCACGCGCCTTCCGAAGCACGGAGTAGGTCGACATGTTAATTTTCGGTCATCCATCCCGTGACGGACCGTTGCGAAAGTTGCTTAACAACAACGATCGCGGGCAGCCGCGCTTATTTATTTATTGAACTGTATTGACCAATATAAAGATGGTACAAAAGGCGGACGGACGGTAATAAAAATGTGGCAACCTTAATCTTGACTTGGACGTTTCGTGACTTAACCAGGTTAGACGGTTTTGCTAATTGACGATAATGGATTTCCTTTAAACTTACCATAATTAATAAAATTACTCTATATCTACTGCCATAAGAATTAGGTAGTATAAGTAAAAACTTATAAAGCAATTTATAAAGAAAATCCGCCCTGAAAAAGCAATATTTAAATAAGAAAAGTGAGGAATACTCATATATAAAAAACATTCAGTTGAATTGAGGATAAGAAGGTACCTTTTTGAGTTAAAAAGGAAGGTACTTTTTAAATTTTTGTTTATAAGTGAGTTTGTCTTCAAAAGCATTTTTTTTTTTCAAAAACCACCGAGTTAGAATAACTTATAAACCATAAATATAAAATCGTTATCTAGTAAATTATATTTTAAAATAGCTTATAGTAGTTTTTTCATCCTCACCCAAGCATTTCCTAGGAATTCATTAAAAAATAAATTGAAGCGAAACAGGATAATAATTAGAACAAAAAGTGCGTCGGCCGGGAATCGAACCCAGATCAACTGCTTGGAAGGCAACTATGCTGACCATTACACCACCGACGCAATTGAACAAATACTTGAAATTGCCATTCAAAAATATACCGTCTATTATTACTGTAGTCAATTTATACACTGCCCTGACCCGACCCTTTTTGTTGGGATTTCAATAAAGCGATGCGTTAGATCCGCTGTACATAAGAATTTCGAACAACGCGGACTGAATAATTCCAGATGTAAAAATAACAACTAAATGCTAATAGCATTCTCTCCCAGTTTAACCTTTGGGAAAATAGACAGACACGATGGCGGTACAGAGCAATAAAAATTAAAAAAACTGCAATTGCAATAACTAAACTAATCATAAACATACTACAATATGCCATACTACATACTACATACTACATACTACATAAACATACTACAATATACAATATGCCTATAAAGAAAGGAGTGGACTTATGCACTACGTCATCGAGTTACTGCAGCTTTTTCTTCTATATGTATTTATATTTGCGTCTGCGCAGGTATTCTTGTCCCGATTGCAATAAGAAGTTCTCGTCTAAGGTATACTTGAATAAACATTACAATTTCTATCACCTGAAGAAGTCCCAGTTTAAGTGCGAACTATGCAATAAGGTGAGTTCTGGTATTACGCCACATTAATCTATTTCGAACGTTTCGTCTTTTGGAAATAAATGATTCAGTTCCTTCTTACATTCAACTATGCAGTAATTATGTATTTTTAGATAACATTACACTCATTCTAATTATGCATTCAAATAATACTAGTGGTCGTCCAGTGCTCGAAATTCGACCATAATAAATTTCATTTAGAAGTTATTACTGAATTCGAAAATCTTTTGCCATCCAGTAAGACCACAGTAAACATCACAAACATACAAATAGATGTCTACGGTATACATATACAACTCGACACTGGCTCAATGCACAAACCGTGCGTGGCCAATATACAAAAGAGTACATGTATGCGTGTAGCAAATACTTGTTTGTGTGTGTCAAATGCATAGTAGTGTGTGTAATGTTTTATTTATCGATTCAATGTACTTTATAAGCATTATTATTGAAATATATTTGCCGTTTGCACTTCTCCTACATTATAAATTATAAGTGTGCCTAATTTCATACTCTTTCGTCCTCGCAATTTTCGTAAAAACGGGTCCAAAGTTTTAGCTTCACGTATTAATATATAGATAATATTCCCACTATGCTCACTGTTACTTTACTCTTTGCTCGCGACTCAGTGAATGAAGTAAGACTGTTTTCTATATGCCCAATAGGCGCAATCTGACGACAGAAAGTTACAATAAAACGTCCCATTTAGACTCAATAAAAGTTTTTCCTATCTTACTCGACTTTCCAGCTAACAAAACGATATTTAAACTCCATATAGGACTTTAAGTATAAGAACGTTTCTACGGCAATCTATATTATACGCGGGTGTCATAGGCCATAATTTCCAACAATATCCCGGTCGCTGGCAAGAGAGAATTTCGTACATTGACCTTTGTCTTAAACATTTTGCTACGACCAATTGGCGGCATCTGTGCGAGCGTAATTGCAATAATGTTTGCGTACATTGTACATTGTACTCTCCGTTCGACGACCGTGTTGAAGTAATTCGATAACTGTAAGTTTTTTGCAGCTGTTCATATCCGATTGGCGGTTGAAGAACCATAAACAAAAGCATCACGGTCTAAGCAGGACAAGGAATCACACGTGCAATGTTTGCGGGAAGAAATTTTTCGTAAGTATCCAGTTTTTGTTGATCATATAGTTTTTTGGCAGCGGTTATTGACCCCAAAAATATAACCTTAAGAGTGAGCACCCACTGAGATAGGAATTTGCAAAATTCGACCACTATCTATATAACACCACAATAACCCCATGCAAGTGATTCAAGAGAAAGGCTAATGTACTTATATATAATAAAGGAATACGCGGGCTAAATTTTTCTATTCAGTATGGGTGTAGACAGTAAACATACATATTTTTTTCTGGTGTTTAATATATTATTACCCATAGTCAATAGTCACCCTTATATGCTTATTGTATTTATAATATGGCTTTAATTATGAAAAACAAATGTTTTATACTCGTTGTCACGTGACTGCAAACAGCGCATTACGTTGTGGCGACTAATACATAGCGACATCTAATTCATCGCACTAACATCGCCGCAATAATCGATAGTGAGAAGACTAGCATCGTCACAGCCAACGATAGCAAGACGAACTGCAATAAGTTTCAACAGCAAGTAACGAGATGGCGCTGTACCAATACAAACAGCATAAAATTAATAACTACAAGACATTTAGAACAAAGAAACCTACATCGCACAGAATAAGTTACATTACCAATTAACATAAATAGAACGTCCAACCTACATCGGTTGGACCGCGGTCCCCGGGCTAACAACACCTAGCTCGGAGGGAGACAATTATCCTTTAGTCTCCCTGACCACTAGTCTCCATCACCACAGTTAGGGAACCAACATTCAACCTTACGGTTCCTAAAACGTCACGACCTCTACTCATATCAGAACTAAAGGAATGAGGAAGTATTAAAAAAAACGAAAGCACTAAAAAAGCACCTCCACTAGATGGCGACTCTAGCAAAAGTTGATATTTGCAGGAAACGAATGGACCAAAGACAGTAATTTCCGTTCCTTTTAAACTAACATATTAAAAAACTGAAATTTGTAAAGTTCGAAACTTAGATATCAATACAAATACGAAAAAGTACAAATAGAATCTGAGTTGTTTATTGAGTTTTGAAAACTAATCTACTTTTAAACTTGAAAGAAAACCGGAAAGGTTGTCATGGAGAAATAAATAACGTACCGTAGCGACATCTAGTTTGATTTCGGGAACTAATATATTTTTTAAATACTTCCTCGATGCATCGTATCGAACCATGAGTAAAGATGGGTAAAGAGCCTTAGCTACTGAGACAAGGAGACAGCCCTTATATTTTTAACGTTTAATATTTTCGTTTTTTTAGTGCTGTCGTTTTTTTTAATACTTCCTCATTCGATGGCGAAACTAGCAAAAGTTGATTTTTGCAGGAAACGAATGGACCAAAGACAATCATTTCCGTTCCTTTTAACTAACATATTAAAAAACTGAAATTTGAAAAGTTCGAAACTAAGATATCAATTCAAATACGAAAAAGTACAAATAGAATATGAGTTGTTTATTGAGTTTTGAAAACTAATTTACTTTTTTTTTTCAATATGGACTTGTTCCGTTATACACTGAAATTTTGCCAACATCCCGTAGTGAGAGAGACACGTGATTTACTTTTAAACTTGAAAGAAAACCGGAAAGGTTGTCATGGAGAAATAAATAACGTACCGTAGCGACATCTAGTTTGATTTCGGGAACTAATATATTTTTTTAAATACTTCCTCATTGAATTTTAGGCACACATAGAACGATATTAGTTTTAGATGGACGTCATAGGAACGTTATAACAGAAGATGGCGTTTGCGCGGGCAATCTTGAAAATGAAATTCAAATTTTAACTTGTTACATGAATGAAATTATACTTTTTTAGGTATATTTCTTGTAAATTTATAAAATAAAAATATAAAAAGGTCACAATGTCAGTTTCAAAATTTTTGTTTTACAAGAAGACAACCCGGAAGCATCTTGGCGCGAAACTAAAAAACTTCAAAGTGACAGTTAACTGACAGATAGGGATGCCCTCAGTGAAATCGATAATTAGTGCTGCCAGTAGTAGTCAATCGTTTACACGCTTTTATTAAGTTTGAAAAGTCTTTCTGTAATCAAGCAAGCTAAATTTCACCGACTTCCCACTGTCCATTTGAACTGAAATTGAGAATATACCTTTAGTTCTGATGACAATGCAATTTTTTTATAATCGGTATTATTGTTATTCCAAAATGGTCGCCGTAATAAAGTGACGGCAACCGCATTGATATCAAATGAAAGGGCTTAACTTGTAGAATACAATACAGCAAACAAAAACTTGTTTTTTATTTGTTACCTTCTAAAATTACTTACCAACATAATTCGTGTAATCCAGCTTCTGTGAAACAAAAAGAAATTTGGACTTTTAGTTTCTTCGATAGCCCAGGGTATTAAGCCCCTGGTCGTAAGTTGCACACGTTGTTCTGGGATAATTTTGCTCTTGTCTTACTGCCCCTACACATAGCGTTGATTTTCTAAGTATTTGCTGTATACACTTCGCGGACCTTGCGGGATCGACCATTCGCTATGGCGGCAGAGATGCAACAGGCAGCTCTGAGTGACTGTCTGTCTACCCTCGATTATTTTATATTTGTCCAAGTTAGGGAAAGGTTACCTACCTTGAATTGATAAAGGATGAATAAAGTTGCGTTACAATATTCAATACTTTGTTTGTAATGCATTTTGAAACCGAACACAGCTATAACATATAACCCTGTATAAGTATTTGTTCCAGACACTGGCTACGCTCCGTGGACATCAGCTAACACATTCCGAACAGCGCACATTTATGTGTGAAGACTGCGGTGACACATTCAAGCAACGACCAGCACTATACACTCACATTAAACTTGTACATAAAGGAGTCAAAAGAAAAAAGTAAATAGATAAATTATTATTTGCTGCTGAAAATAAAGTTATCACAACGTTTTTTGTTTTTATTGATGAATGCGAAATACATGAATTATTATAACTATTTATAGATAATTAAGTGGTTTTTTTATGACCTTGTTCCGTTCAACGAGAAATATAACGAATATATAATTTCAACATTGAAATCCGCTTTAAAGGTGAAGCGATTGTGAAATCGATTTTTGGAATAATGTAACGTTTGAAGTCGAAATCTCTTTCAGAACGAATTTTTATTTGAATGATCAACATATAATAAAAAGTTGGCAAGTTAAGATAATATTTGCGTCTAACGCTTGCCTGAAAGAATTCCAATTAATGTCAAATTAAAGATATCATTCATCCATATTCTTTCAAACGAAGTCGCTGTTAAATGTCAAACGTTAGCGTGAAATTGGTAAATATCATTCAAAGGTCTAATTGTGGAAGGCACTGCGAAGTGACTTTTACGTAAGTGTAAAGACCACAAACGTGACATTGGCGGAATTGTGTAAACGCAAATATGCCATGAATCAAAGAATAAGAAAATGATCTTTTTTCTTTTTTTTTAATATTTATTCAATATTAAATCTTTTTTTTTTTATATTCGTGAACTTCCGAAAAAAACATTGACAGTTATGTTCCTGTATACAGATTTGTCAAAAATACAGTTCAAAAGATTTAAAGATCAAGAAAATCCAGGCAGGGCTGTATGGACCTAACATCCTTTGCCCGTCCCAAACAAGGGGGACAAATTAACCAAAAAAAAAAGTAAAATGCCATTGTCAGATTGACAGTGTTTATATTATGACCTTAGAGTAAGTATTTAGTAGAGGGCTATTAGGCGTGCCACCGTAAGGGACAACAAATAAATTATCAGTGTTACTAGGTAGTTAAATGTTCCTCGATTATGGGGAGATATTTTGTTATTAGCAAAAGGAGGAATAATTTGGTCAGCATAATTTGTAGAAATGTTCAGAAACTATCTATTTTTCTGCGATTTCATCAAATTATAGCTGTAGTCAACCACGTATGATGTAACTCCCATGTCCCATGGATGAAAGAATTAGTAATAGAGGAAGATTTTTTCATTGTAGAAATATTGATACACTATCTATCATCTTAAATTAACTAGCACATTGAATCAATGGGCTTGGTTACTGAAGTTTTTTAAATAAAATTAAGTTTGACTAAATTAGAATATGCTCAAAAAAGTCTAATTTAGACAAACAAAACTATTTAGAAAATTTAATTCAACCAAAATTTAAAAAATAACGAAAAAAATAAAGACAATAAAGAAAACCGTTTAAAAGAGAATAACGTACCTATTCAATGATAAAATTATGTTTAGGAAGGCAAATAAGAAAAATTTTGATGTTGGGCTAACGTCAGTCCAGCAGCGCCACTGTATGTTTACTCAATAGCTGTTAGAAAGACCATTTTTTAAAACCTAAGGTCATTTTAGAATGAAATAAAACGTTGAAACTATTGACACATGTTGATATTTTAGTAGATCTTAGTAACCACAAAGTATTTTATCGTTCTGACTAATCCAATCGAATATTTTAGTCTCATATTTAGTGACGAAATACTAAACGAAAATCGAACTCGAAATCGAAAACAAAATGTAAGCCTGCAGAGATATTTGACTTTGATCAGTAATTACTCAGATTCTGGAGTTCATTACTTCAAGACAGTATTAGCAGAGCACGTATTAGTGTTTTCGAGGTATGAGCGTTTGTGCACCACTGCCGTCGTATCCGTTATCCTGGTCGATTTCATAAAATGACTTGACGATTATCGTTAGTCCACCACGATACTTCGCTCAAATTCTAGTACCAGTCCCAGAAGATTTCTTTTCTCAAACTAGAATATCTATAAACTAGCTATTTTCACGTGACTTCGCTTGTGTAAACTCTAGCCTATGTCAACTGCGTATGGTGTAGCTACCCGTATGTGAAAGAGTTTTTAAAATCGGTTCAGTAATCTTTATCCCTGGTTGTTTGAGATTGATCAAATATAATAATCGGTCCATTGGTTTCGGAGTCAATTCGATGTAAAAAATAAATAATAAAACCTTAAATTTTTTTAATAATAAGTATAGATGAATAAACATTCAACAACATCACATACATGGCTCATATTGTAAGACGTGTATTTTGGAGTACTAAACCCCGTATATGGTACCTTATGGTACCTTTATGGGTATTATAGTACCTTAATACCCAGAACTCCCAGACCCCAGACAATAAAGGAAAGTTAATTTTCTACATTTTTGGTTTTTTAATTATAACAATTAGTGTAAATCATTACACCTGCAGACCTATTTTAATCTATTCTGCCGATGTACGCTGTTGAGTGTGTGAGATTTATTAAGAGCTATGACTTATTAGAAAAATCAATTAATAATTATAATAAAAATAATTATCAATTACTAAACCAATATTAAATAAAGTTACAGGTTGGGTGAAATCAAAGAGGGTACTAAAATAAAAAACACTTTACTTCGTTTTCACAAAAAATTTACAAATAATTAGATATATCACATGTATTAATCACATATTAAAAAATAGAAATTATGCTACTTATAAGTTAAAATAAACTTACTCGATCACAAAAAACAAATAAATTGTCTACTTAACTGCAAGTACACCAGAGTAATTAATCTAAATAAGTATTCGCTTAATAGTATTAATACTATATAATGTTAAATATATTTAAAAGCCATTAAACAAAATTTAAATACTAAATACATACTATTATAAATTAAAATTGGCTTTTAATTGGTTAGTAAATCACAAATTAGAGCACAATTTACTTTGTTACAGTGAATTCTAATCAAACAAAACATTTTTAAAAATATGAAAATGAATATTAATATACAATAAAATGATACATAATTATTATATTTTAATACAAAATAAAAAAAAAACATATTTTAGTTAGCTTACAATACTCTTAAATCATAGACAAGAATTCTTAAAAAAAAGAAACATAACCGATATTATTTCACAATATATTTTCTAGCATTATTATAAAGATACAAACAAATGATAATCAGTGTATTTCTAAAAGAATAGCACAGATAATATTTGAAGATTAGATTATGGCACAAATAAGTTATGATATTTATGAAGAATATGATCTGTGGTTCTGTCTACACAACACTAATAACCGATTTGCAACTCAATTATGAACATCTCATATTTTTATACAACAATTATGGGATGGTAAATAAATATTACTTAACAAGTGCAAAAAAACTATAACTCCAAGAACAAATCAAATATTTAAACTGATATAGTAATATTTAAAATTTCCTAGCAAGTATAGAGATATAGGATACATTTTTTAGTGAAGGCAACTCTTATTTAATAATAACATTAAAAGTTTAAAACTTAGACTATCAGTATCTAGTATAAATTATGTATATTTTATTTTTCAAAATGTCCAGTTTAGATTCTCAAACTAAAAAGGTTTTACACGGTTAATTAATATTGTATGAAACCAACAAAATAATTGAAAAGATATGAAGATAATGCATTTTATATATTTTAGGCATTGTATTTCAAAGTATTAACTGCTTACTACTAACATACAATATCTTATAGTTTCAGTACTTACTTACATACTTACCATTCTTGTTACATTGTGTATATCCCTATGAGGAAGGTATTATAAAAAGTGGACTTGTTAAGTAATAAATACCTTACTTATATAATAAGTATTTAACTATTATATCTATTTAATAAAATCCTTATTATGTACTTGATTTTGTTTGCCTTCCTACATATAAAAATAAATGTTTTTCAAAATGCATTGAACACACACTGGCATGCCTTTAAGGCTTACAATTTGGTCTTCTGCAAGCTTCAATCCAATTTTGAAGTTCAGTTTCATTTATCAATCAATTTTGAAGTTCACGTTCATGTGATGAAAATCTAAAATATAAACACAATTACTAAAACACTTTTTTTTTTCATATTTTAATTTGGAAAATTGAGGTCATCATTATGATAATAATATGATTGTCATATTAATAATTAGTTTATTAGTTCATATTAATAAAATTAGTTATATTATCTACTATAAACTGAACTGAAATGCTATGTATTTGGTTAGGAACATTCCTAACCAAATACATAGCACAATTTTTAGTGATTCTAAATACAGAAACGATATTCAATTAAGGTTAGAAGATGTTAACATTACAGTAAATTAAGCGGTATTTTAATATAATCATGCAAAACTTTACTGATAGGCTTTAAATGCTTATATCTTTAAATGCTTATATGCATATAATATTTAAGGTTACAAACTTGGATTTATTTTCATGAAAAGTTTAAAAACTGGCCAATTGTTTTTTTAAATCGCATTTTGTAGTTCTATGTACTTGGAAAATGGTTGAGTTTCAAACATTTTGATATTTATTTAACAGAATATTGATAATTTAATTTTAAAGCACTTTGAGGGGAGATTTTAAGCACTTAGATGTCAGCCTTAATGATTTGAGGTTATATTCTTATTCAACTTATTTAATAATATTTTTAGCTTATTTTGTGTCGTATTTAATAAAATTCACATCGGTTATTGCAATGAGCAATTTTACCTTGACGAAGAAATAAACAAAATGTTTCTAACTTACCTGAAATATGATACACCTACAATATTTCTTTCGGATCTATTTTTGCAAGATATAACACTGCACTTAACCATTATTTTAATTTGCAAGTAATGTTTCTTAATTATAAACTCTATACATCATATAAAATATTGTTTAAATACACTTCTTTCCAACTTTTTTCTATATTATTTGAGTCCAACAATTTCTATGCCTAAAATTTTGACGTTTTGGTGCCAAACAAGCCTGGTGCCAAACAAAAAAACCGGCCACATCGATAAGGACAACAAATAATGTTTTTATTTATTTATTTATTACTCAATCATGCACCAGCTTACAGAATACTCCATCACACTGGCTCATTATACATTTGTCATAATAATTTCAATTTTTACAAGTTAATAAAAAAAAAAAAATTTGTACTGATATTGAATTACGTCAGATTTACAACCAATAAATAAGCAATGTCAAATTGTGAAAAAATAATCAAAATATTAATTTATATAATTAAAAAAAAAACATGAATTTAAAGTACGTAGTAGATAAATGTCTAACAATAATATAAATCAATGCTAAGGATTACTTAATTTATAAAGAATCTAGGATCTGTCTAGCCGATGATAATTTTATCTCACTCATTTTATCTCACTTTAACTAATGAAAATTGTAATAAGTCATTTCATTTCCCGATGAATGAGATAGAACATACCATTAGTCTATTGCTTTCTCTGTCGACGATTATGACAGTTTAAGGGATGCTTAGAAAAACCAAATCGATAAGTATTTTAACTAATAGATTAATCAAAGTAAAATCAAATATTGATATACAATCTATTTGGTGAACGGATGTTTGGCCACTTAAAAGTCATTCCACAAATCCAACGCAGTTATTAATCATTTTTACTATCTAATTCGTTAAATTTAGTTTCTTAAAGAGAAATTTAGTCATAAATATTTGTGAAACTAAACTGAACATCAACAAATATTCACTAATGATTATTAGATTTATGATTTATACAAATCTCATTACTTATGATGAAGAGCTGGTAAGTTTCTTTCGCTTTTTGTTCTTGTCAGCTAAAAGACGTCCTGAACAAGCGATAGATGAAAAAAGTTTTAAAAGTGCTTGAAACAAGTTTAGTTGAATAAAAACAATTTCATTTCATTTCCTTCCTGAGATTAAAAATATCGACTTTACATATCGATTATTATGAAAAAACGATTTGGTGAATCGATTTATCTTTCCCAATCCTAGTTTGTGTTTTTGTGGTCATTTAGTGGTCATTTATTTAGTTCTAATTTCTTGGTGTTTTTTACGTTTGATCTGCTTTTATCGTCATTGTTTATTTAATTCTTCATAAAAACAATGAAAGAATCTCGCGATAAAGACAAACGCAGCAAAAAAAGTAAACGTAAAGAAAAGAGAAAACGTTATAGCAGTGTAAGTATATAAAAATATTAATTTTACACCGCGAACTTTGCAGGATCTTATTTTTTTTATAATTCCAAATATTTGTTCTAATATGTGACTGATTGTTTATTTTATGTTGGCAAAATAATTGTTGAAATCCTTCCAAAAGTTTTTCAGCTTATTACAAACAAACAGATAGTTAAAGATAAATTGATAGCACGCATTTCGTAGATTATTTTTATGTATTTAATCTGTATAGTCAAACAAAAAGGAAGTATGCTGCTGTGAGTAAACTCATGGACCCAATATCTACGATTTTATTGTACACACTAGACTAAATTCAGGTTTATTCCTGATTATATTGAAGAAGAGTATGATTATATTCTTAGCTACTTATGATTATATAAAAACATCATACCAATCCCATTGGGTTAGGTTAGATGTGGGGGCTTCAATTTTCTACTGCCAAATATCTGGTCTGTTGCCAGACTCAGTTATGAGAAATTCAAACCCATATTAAAGTAACTTTATTTTAGCAGTGTAGTAGTGTATCTTTGAGGGTCCCTTTATTAAAATTATAACATTAATACTGCTGACATGGCGGTAGCTACACACAGTTAGTTAAGAGTGGTATGACATAATTAGCGAAATTATCATTCACACTTTTTTGAAATGCATGCTTTAATGAAAATAAAAGAAGAAATCATGACAGATATAATGGCAGTAAGAATCAGTAAATACAATTTAAATGAGTGTTAATGTACCATCCTATGCCATTGATCATATTTATGTTGCAGTTAACTAGTTAGCCATTCAATTTCATAGCCAGTTTATTCAATTGAATGGCATTATTTAATTGCATGGCTATTTGTTTTGTATTATATTTAGAACAATCAATTTTTTTTGTTACTATGTTATTTTTAATTTCATTTCATAGATCACAGTAAACAATATTTAGTTTGGTGAAAACTGTGACCGGAAATTTTCTAAGTATTTTTGTATTACAATCCAATTATTCAAGTTTCTTCTGTAGGAAGTATGAACTTATTGGATTCCCATTTGAATGAATATACCTTTGTTTGTCCAGATTTATCTTTATTACAAAGCAGGGAATTTTTTGATTCCGATTAAATTAATAGAATCTATGGATAATTTGATAGTATTTTTGTTTTGTCCTTATGTTACAGTCAAGTTCATCTACCTCAGAATCCGATCAATGGGTCGAAAAAGAACAAGTAGAAAAGCCAGTTGCGGAACGGGATGACTGGATGTCGATGACGGGTATGTTAAAAACTTACACAAAAGATGATATTAAACCAAAACAGGAAGAAAACAAGAAACATATAGATTCATACAATCCGTCGACTAGTGTTAGGGAGTTGAATCCTTATTGGAAAAATGGAGGTACAGGTTTGCCACAGACATCGGCTGAACTTCGCAAGTCACGGCAGTTCTTAAAGCCAGATGACACAGAAGATTATTACAGAAAGTCCTCTTCATCCAAAGAGTATGAGAAATCGGGTATACGCGACAAATCATATAAGAAACAAGACGAATATCATAGGAAAGACAGAGAAGCACCTAGACGCAACTGGAAGATACGATCTGAAGAAAAATCAGTTGTAAAAGATCGGTCACCGTCACCACAACCCACAAAAGTAAAACATTTGTCACCTCCAGCGCAAGAAAATTACCGAAAAATTGAAATAACGGAGAACCTATATATGAGTGATGAAAAATTGAACAAATTAGCCGCTAAGGTTGTTAAAGCTGAAATATTAGGAGACACTGAACAGGTTGCGAAACTAAAAGCAAAACTAGAAGCGGCAAGAGAGTACCGTAAGCAAAATCCGAACGCTGGTAAGGAAGATGACGATGGTGTTATGCTGATGTCAACGACAAGCTCAGGCAGCAGTAGGCCTTTAGCGAACACTGCTAAAGGTGATTCTAGAAGTAAGGGTGGTAAACGTAAAGCTGAAACTTACACTTTGGGTGAAAGAACCAAGTACTTTGGTAATGATGATAAGTACAATTTAGCTCAAATGGTAAGTAATGTGTTATTATATCTGATAAATTACTAGCTTTTGGCATTCTACATGATAATTATATACTCTACACAAACTCTTTTTGTACTTTAAGACTTGTTATTATAAGGGAATCAAATATGTTTTTCTGATAGTGAAAATTGTCTAGGGTAGATCTACAAAAACAAAACAAATAATTAAAAGCCTGTTGTTGTAATAAAATTTATTTAAGTTATATTTACATTTCACTTTTAGTTCAATGTAATTTAAGTTATTTTTATTTGTCCATTTTGTTTGTATAATTTTTATAATTTAAATGAACAAAAATAAGAGAAAACTATTTTTGTATTTTAAACCTCTCTGTATTTTAAAAATTGTTGCCAATAATTACCGATAATTGTCAGATAATTATCTTTATAATTACGAACCCTACTAGCTTTCAGCCTAAATGTTAACTCAGGCTTTGAATTATCCATATGCAAATAGGGATGACGACTGGGTAAAATAAATGCAATTCTATTTAGTCCGTCAGTCAGATAATAGAAAAATATTAGATACGTATTTTTTTTTACTTCAATTTAACAAGAAATAGCTTCGATAACAGTTATTAAAGTTGAGGAGTGGGGGCTCGCTACGTCACAGTTTAGTAGAAAACGTACTCTAACGATAATCGTAGCTCGAACTACATCTTTCAGCACGCTATCATCTTTTTCCGCTAGTCTATCGTTTTTGTCGCTCAGAGCCGCCATATGTATCGCCTAAATGTAGACAGATTAGTAGGCAGACGTGTTATCCTTCACCCGCCATCTTTTTCGCTCTAGCAAATGGTATTTTTAAACGACAGGACAACGGGAAAAGGCAATACCGTGTTGCCAGATCTAGTTTAACATGTTTCTTTGTTTTTTTTATACTCCACTGCATATCTTTAATAGCATCTCTTCCGTTTCCAATAGCGTTTGTCTATTTCAATTTGCAGTTTGAACAAGAGAAATATGGCAATAATTATGATAATGACGCACAGTTAGCAAGAGTGGCTGGTAGTCACAAAAATCCTAACGACGATTTAGAAGATATATTTCTGGATGACATTTCTAAGAATAGAAATGTAGCTAAAGACAGAGATGTCGAGAAGCAAAGAGCTATCAAGCAGCATGTCAAGTTGGAGAGGTCTCTGGAGGGATGTGAATATTGTGTAGACTCGAAGAATATGCTGAAACATCTGATGGTCAGCTGTGGAAGTAAAGTGTATGTCGCGGTGCCGTCTAAACAGTCACTGGTTAGAGGGCAGTGTGTAATAAGTACAATACAGCATAATACTTGTGTGACAGCGTTAGACGAGGACGTTTGGGAAGAGATTATGGTGAGTTTTATTTATATACCATATCTAGGTCCCTAAATAAAGTTAATCCACGCTTAGAATTATCCGTATATCAAATTTCATCAAAATCTATTCAGTAGAAATAGTTACAAACATACTATCCTACAAACTATCGCCTTTATAATATCATTAAAATTATTTACCCCTTCTTCTTGTCCTTTTTTAGTTCATGGCCTATATGCGTTTACACAATTCCGCCAATGTCACGTTTGTGGTCTTTACACGTAAGGAAACAATAAATATGTCAATTTTGAATTTTGGGGAAATAGATAAAACAATAAAAAAAAACTGTCTGATTACATTGTTAAAGATAATATAAATAAAATGTGTAAACAACTTAAATCTGTCATGGATATAATTACAATGACAAATTGAATAGTAAACAATGGTTACTATGGTAACGTTTTAATTCCACACCCATTTTCATCCCTTTATTTGTTGTGTTTTCAGTATAAAATATATCCTATGTCCACCGCATATGATGTATTTTCACGTAGGTTATAGAATTTTTAAAATCGCTCCACTAGTTTCAGAGCGTATTATGCGAGAGCATACATACTGAAACTACTACTTTTTGTTTACTATTCAATTTGTCATTGTAATTATTTAATTACAATTTAATATCCGAATAAACATTTTGTATTGGCAGGCGAAGACTCTGGCGAAAAGCTAGTATTGTTATTGTACTTACTAGTACCGACTACAAATTGCTTTTTAGTTTTCAGGTTATTTTTACCCTTTGCAGGGTGGAATATCCAAAAATATATTAGTACACCCCTAAGTAAAAAGAGTAGCTTGGTAGCGTAGTGGATAAGCGCCGTGGCCCGCGATCGTTGTTTTAAGCAACTTTCGCAACGGTCGGTCACGGGATGGGTGACCTAAAAATTATTATCTCGAGCTACTCCTTGCTTCAGAAAGCACGTTAAGCCGTTGGTCCCGGCTGCATTTCCAATTGTTAATACACTCCAATCCGCATTGGGCCAGCGTGGAGGGTCATGGCCCATCGTCCTTAACCTACCTACCCTCCAAACAACTCTACAAGATAATAGTAATCCTCTGTTTTTTATTATCTCTTAAATCGGTCAATATAGTAAGACACCGATTCTTAAATACGTTATTAGTTATTATCGTCAGCAGCCATTAATGTGTTAGTCTCAACTGCCGAGGCCTTCCCTATCGATGAAATTAAATAGAATTGAAAGAGTAGGCTATGTCCAGTCACACGGTCCTGGTGCGGATAGATGCAGCCGGTACCGACAGCTTAACGAACTCATTGAAGGTCGGAAGAGCTCAAGATAGTAAATTTCATAGATAAACCCCATCCTATGACTGGCTGAATTTCTGTATCGCAGACCGAGCGCGCTAATGTTTTCTTAAAGTATTAAATTATTATTATTCCTGTATTTATAATTTACTCTTCCCGACCCCTCGACGATTCGAGGATTCCCCCCGGCACAGGAGGCCAGACCGGGGGTCAGGGCGACAAAGAGAGAAAACGGCGGACGATCCTTGCGTTATCGAGCAAGATCGCCCGCTGGAGCCTCTCAATCATTGGTCTGTCACGGAGTCCCAACCTCTTCAGATGGTCGTGAAGAGAAGTTGGGACTAGGCCTTTATTATTATTATTAGTATATTCTTAATGAAAAATTATTCAAAAATCCACTTCTTCCCCGGCACTCTGAGATGGGACTCGAACCCATAACCTTTCGGGCGACTGCTCTAACCGCGGTACCCAGGACCTAACAGGACTGACGAATTTTTTCACTACTACAGAACATATCTTCATCAACGTTCTTCACTAACTATCAGTATGTTTTTCACTAACAATATTTTTTTGTATAGCATTGTGACTGCATAATAAATCAAATGTAATAATTAGAACTAATTTTTCAAATATTTATAAAAATATTTTTTCCGCTGTTCAGGTGGATTGCCTGAACACTGATGAGAATGTAGCTCTGTAGTAGCGGAAAGTAACGAGTGCTTGAAAGATTCGTCAACCCTGTTAGGTCCTTGGAGGCTCAATGGGTAGAGCAGTTGCCCGAAAGGTCATTTTTGAACCATTTTTTATTAAAAATATTTTTCAGTATAGCATTGTGAATGTAAAATTATTAAATACAATAATCTTACTTACTTTTTCTCTGTATTTTCAGACTTACAGGAGAGCTTTAACACAATTCTATAATTCACAAAGTCAAGATGTGGTCTTCTTCGAGTTGGCCACCAAGTTGCATCGCTTTCCACACATGGTGATCAACTGTGTACCAGTTCCACGTGACGTGGGAGATATGGCCTCGATATATTTTAAAAAAGCTTTACTGGAATGTGAAACGGAGTGGTCTATGAATAAAAAAGTAGTGGAATTAAAAGGGAAGGACATCAGGAAAGGTATACCGAAGGGTTTGCCTTACTTCTGGGTGGATTTCGGTATGGATCCAGGCTTTGCGCATGTTATAGAGGACCAGCAGCTGTTTCCTAGGAATTTTGGAGAGGTTAGTTTTTTGTATGTTGCAGCTCACTGGTTAAACAGCTGTTAAATTGGCACAATCTGTTAAACAAGGCATAGCTTAACTAGAAATCACTTAATATTAAAAATAACGTAAGCAGACTTGAAGTTTCACCAAATCTGTAATGCCTTATTAAGCACTTGCTTAGATAGGCAACGTTTGTCTGGATACTTCAGTTCTTTTTTTTTTAATGTATGGACAATTTGTGTTTACACAATTCCGCCAATGTCACTCAAGTGGCCTTTACACGTAAAGAAACAATAGCAAAAGTACATATTTTGGGGTAATAAAACAAGAAAAATTATACATGGTCTTGTATATACACGAGCACCCAAGCTATCATTGTCCATATATAAAAATTGTGAAAATAATAAAAATCTATTGGTTTATATAATAATTCTAATATATACTCTTTGATTCCAACTTGCTAAATCGATTTTATCCCTTGACACATCCGTCATGCATGACCAAAGAGTAAATGTATATGTCAAATTACGTAAATACTCAACTCTAGGCGCCGCACAATGCATTCCTCACTTTATGCGTTGCCTAAAATCGTTAGGTGGCTCCTTGTGATTGATGACACGCATTTTAACTTTAGACAATTTCCAAATATTTAGGTGTCAGATTTGGGCAACTCATAAGTTTAGTGAAAACATGATTTAGAACATGAAATTCAATTGCATTGCTAGAATTCTAGTTTAGTTTAATAATTAGATTTAAAACATTCAATAGGATCGTTTATTTAAAAGCCCTAGACTTTATTTGTAAAATGGTGTTAACAGCTAAAGTATGTATATATGCAGGGCGATTCTGTAAAAATCGAAATCCGAATTCGAATTCACTAAGGTGTCTGAATAGGGATGACGACTGGGTAAAAAAAAATGCAATTCTATTTAGTCTGTCAGTCAGATAATAGAAAAATATTAGATACGTATTTTTTTTACTTCAATTTACCAAGAAATAGCTTAGATAACAGGCATTAAAGTTGAGGAGTGGGGGCTCGCTACGTCACAGTTTTGTAGATAAAGTACAAAAGCGTGACGTCATGTGACATTTTAACTTAATGTATCGTCCTAATTTAATTATTAAGAAAAAATAAAAATATAAGTGTTTGATATTTTTCAACAATCTACAATCTATTTTACAATTAATCAAAAATTAATTGTCATCCCTATATTTGACATTCAATTTCATCATCTACGTCTCGGTTTTCTTTGTATTTATGCGCAACTTTAATGATTTAAATGTGTGTTTATTCACAGGAGATCATCGGTGGAATGCTAGATCTCGACCATCACTTATGGAAAAATCCAAGGAAAGAGTACGGCGATTTGCAAAGGAAGAAAGTGTTAGATTTCATTAAAGAATGGAAGCCGTTCGATCCTAATAAAAAAATAAATATATAGAAGTATTATAGTATTTGTGTTTTATTTAAATGAGAGGGGCGTAACTACTGTTGTGTCAATTATACGAGGCCCTCGTGCCGTATGTAAGCAAATTCTAATGAGGAAGTATTTAAAAATAAAAAAAGCACCTCCACTAGATGGCGACTCTAGCAAAAGTTGATTTTTGCAAGAAACGAATGAACTAAAGACATTTCCGTTCCTTTTAACTAACATATAAACAAAGGTCGGAATTAGGTAGAGTTATTTATGTACTTGCATCGAAATGTTGATATTAATGTGGACCTTCCCGGGATTTCTTTCTTTCTTTCTTTCATTGATGTAAGTTTGGCAACGTCGTGCGTGCAGTAGTTTAAATTGTGTAAAAGTAAATAACTTTTTATTTAAAACATCACAGGATTTTTTCTGCTCTTTAAAATTAATCTCGGGATTTGAGGCATATCCACTTTTCTTTCGCTGTATGAAATCAGTGTAAGTACATGAATAACTCTACCTAATTCCGACCACTTCATATAAAAAAACTGAAATTTACAAAGTTCGAAACGTAGATATCCATACAAATACGAAAAAGTACAAATAGAATATGAGTTGTTTATTGAGTTTTGAAAACTAATTTACTTTTAAACATGAATGAAAACCGGAAGGGTCATTTATCATGGAGAACGTTCCGTAGCGACATCTAGTTTAATTTAGGGAACTAATTTTTTTTTTAAATACTTCCTCAATGCATCGCATCGAACCATGAGTAAAGATGGGTTAAGAGCCTTACTGCAAAGAGTAGCCTTACTGAGACAAGGAGACAGCCCTTATATTTTTAACGTTTAATATTTTCGTTTTTTTTTAATACTTCCTTATTCGATGAGCGATATCGCACAAATCGCATGCCCTTTAAAACGTATGAAGAATCGCAAGTGTTTACTTACTCATGAGATTGCACAACCTGTCGATATCGGTCACAAACGTTCTCGAAATCGAATTGCATGTCTCGTACTCATGGTCTGCGATATCACTTCAAATGCATGAAGAAGGACGACTGTTTAGAAAATCAAGGAGCGATTCAGCTGCGCAATCTTTCTCTATCATCAAAATATATTCAATTTGACAAAAAAAACTCCATGGTGTAGTGGTTAGCACGCACGATCTGCGATTGCGGAGGTTAAACGATGCTCGCAAACGCCGGTAATCGGATGGGTGGTCAATTTTTTAGTAGATCTATTTTGGATCACCACGCGGCTCCAGTACGGATTACTGGGCCAGCGTGGCGATCCCTATGCGGATTATTGATGCTAAAACATATATATTCTTAATCGATAAATCCAACCCACCTAACATTCTACAATGCGGTGCTAAAGCATTATTATTGGATAACATAAAAGTTAGGAATTAGGCCCAGTTAGGAATGCTGGGTGAATTGGTTTCATCCATTAAGAATGTGTGCTTTAGCAGCACCAATCCTCATTGCGACCTACACGCGGGCCCAGTAAGGAATGCATGGTGGATTGGCTAGATGCTGAAGTAGTTAAAGTAAAGCAAAGACCGGTGATTCGATGGGTGACCAAATATTTTACACGTGGCACGTACAACAAGAGAAGAGAAGAAAGCAAAAACCCGCCATACCACGCTCCGTCCCGCACCACCCCACTCAGCTAAATAAAAAAAATGATCACCTATCCCATTACTGGTCTTAACGAATGTCATCGTAAACACCTTTCCTATCCCACCCGACTCAGTTAAATTAAAAAAAAACACCCATCACATTACTGGTCTTTGCGAAAGTCGCTTAATCAACGTAAATGCATCTCCTACCCAGTAAAATAAAAGAAATTGATCACCCAACCTATTACTGGCTTTTGCGGAAGTTGTTTGATGTTCGTAAGCGCCTGCTGCGCTCTACCCCTCACAGCCAAATAAAAAAAAGATCGCCCCTCCGATTACCGGCCTTTGCGTAACTCCCGCAACGCCTGTTGTCAAGGAGATTCGTGACCGAGATATCAACAGTGTGAAATCCAAAGAGTACTTCGTAATTTGCAATCTCATAAGTAAACACAAAGACTACAATGTATAATATATTTTATAAGGGCATGCGATTCGTTCGATATTACTCGTCGATATCGAATTGCATCGCATCGAGACATGAGTAAAGAAAGAAAGACAAAATATAACTTTTCTTTCGAGCGAATAAATAATGTTCTGTGGCGTGGCGAGGAACCATAGAGATAAGGTAGAGTGAAATATTTTCTATGGTTATATAAATATCATGCAATCTAAAGTTGACATCGAAAACATTATGTTGTCTTTTTTTAACTAATAAGAAGTTTCTTTAGTAAACAAAGATCGCACTAGTGTGACAGTTCAAATTTTTTTACGTGACCTCATGACATGTAGCTATCGTACCACCTGTCCGCCATTCGCAAAGTTGCAGTGCGTATTCTCGGAAGTATTTCAGCTGTCAGTGTTATAAGTTTTGTGGTTATTTTCATTTATAACTTTAATTTATATAACTTTCATGGCAGAAAATTGTAAATTATTTATGCAAAACAATGCCTAGGTGCAGTGTTATTGGTTGTGCGTCATCGATATCCTGCAAACCGAGCAATATTACGTTTCACCGGTAAGTTAAACACTTTCTTAGAAAAACAGTATTTAAAACGTAAGTAAGTTATTCTGAAAATGATTGCGTGTATAAATCGATACATATCGTATTTTGGCGTGTTCTATTTATGTTATATTGCTCTTTTCGTTTATATTTTTATAATATTTCGGTCCGTAAATAATGTTGTTTACATTACATTACTAGTGTTGTTACTTTAACATTTGGTTTATATCGACAATTCTATTATTTAAAAATATATTCATTATTTTAGATTACCAAAAGATGAAACAAAAAGAGTAATATGACCGAGTTCCATTGGAGCAGAAAATATTAAATATAATGAAAAAGTTACTTTACTCACTTCATTTTAGGGAAAGTTGTTTGGATCGAACTTTAAATATAATAAAATTACGAGATGATGCATTGCCAATCAAATACGCTGGTAAGAATTTTTGATAATTGCTTTTAACTTAATTTTACAATTTTTTTGTCTATTACACTTAGTTAATTTTCATTTGATTTTACTGATTTATTTATTTAGTTTTTTATATAGTCATTTTGTTATTCTATAAATGTACCTTATTTTTAGTCTTGCGGTCATATGACAACTATTTTAATTGAAAAAAATCAGAATGCAATATATAATAATATTAAAATATAAAATTCTGATCATAATATACTCCCAGTAAAATTACAATAAAATGAGTTAAATAATTTTAATAAAAATTTAAAGGTTTTCTTTGCTGTTCAATAGTATAATCTTAATACCCAAATAATTATTTTGCGGCGTGGCTGTTTATTTTGCTGATGCATCATAAAATACGCTACCTTTTTGTATTTAAGAGCCATATGACAAATTTTCACTCTGTGATTTGAGTTCTCGAGAACTTGTTCAAGGTCACGAGTCCACAATACTGTGTTGAAACCACGTTCAAGCTATTTTGATACTTTTCCCAATTTTTGTATTTATTTTAGTATTTCTATGGTGAGATTCATTATCGATTCCCGAATATTTTAAACGACTGCTCTCGAAAAGGAGTCTATTGTTTTTAGAATTAATGTATGTATGTGAGTATTTTTATTGCACCATAACTTTTGAAAGATATAACGGATATGAATGTACAGGGTATCATTAGAAACATCATCCTAAGTAACCACAAAATACATAGAGTATCAGTGAAACTAGCTTAATTATTAATATTAAATAGGTATGGGGACGTGTGACGCCATTTAAAAAAGTACGTTTTTTTATAATCATAACTTTATGGGTATCAAATTAAAGGTCCATTAAAAATATATAATCTGTATACAAAATTAACTGCTCACTAAAATGAATAAAATATAAAAATTATTTAAAAATTAAAAACACGACTGCTAAGTAACGGACAAAAATTAAAAGAAACAAGTTTAGCCAAATCATAGGCTATAAATATAAATAGCGATGACAATATATCAATAAAATTATAAATATTAATTAAAAAATATGCGTGCCATATTTTTCGTCGACGATTTCGAAATATTTTCGTCATCCATAGGAAACATGGACTGTTTCCTGTTTGGAAAAGTAGTAAATTAGAATTATATTAAACTAGTTGTGCCCGCGGCTTTATGCGAATGGAAAGTAACCTAAGGTTCTTTTCTCATGGCTAAATGCGATGTTATTCGATATGAATGAACGATATCACACGAATCGCATGCACTTATAAAATGTATGGAAAAACTCAAGTGTTTGCTCATGAGATTGTACTATCTGTCAATATCGGTCACAAATCTCATGGTCTGCGGTATCACTTCAAATGTATGAAGGCGGTAGAACGCTCGATCTGCTTTTGATTTTCTGTTCAATAATATCGAGGAACGATTCATTTGCTCATACTTACCATATCATAAAAATATATTGAATTTTACAAAAAAATACGGCAATATCCGTATATAAACAAATGAAAAGCTCGATGGTGCCGGATAGCTCGTTTGATCTGCGATTGAGGAGGTTAAGCGACGATTGCAAAGGCCGGAAATTGGATGGGTGGTCAATTGTTTTGGTGGTCAAAAAAGAGATAAGGCAAAAAGAGCATATAAGAAACGTCCAACTAACCGCAATCTTATTCGTTTTAAGGTTCTTCGAAATTGCTGCAGTCGTTTGTGTAGGGATGCTAAGCGACGCTTCTTCCATAGCTCTCTTACTGATCGCAATCCTACTGATGCCTGGCGGTTTTTGCGCTCTGTAGGAGTGGGGAAATCTACTGCTACTGTGTCTACCAATGTAGATTTAAGCGTCCTTAACAGACACTTCTCCCTTCCTCCTTCTACTATCGATGGTGACATAAAGGATTCTACGCTCGCAGAACTTTCACTGGTTCCGAGGCCAGACTGCACATCTTTTGTCTTTTCAAAAATATCCGAAACTGACATTAAAAATAC